AATGGAGAATTTTGAGATTTTGAGGAAAAGTTAGTTTTGAGAAAAAGTTAGAATTTTGAGAAAAAGTTAGAATTTTGAGATTTTGAGAAAAAGTCAGAATTCTACGTATTCCTCCGTCTGCTGATTTTCTTAGAGAATCAGTCATAAATTCAATTTTTTTCTATACGCTCGCTTTTGCGCTCCTTATTTTAATTTGGTTTATAATGAATAATTTCAGAGTTCTTTTAATTATTTTCGAATTTATAATAATAATTATTATTATTAGTAATTTAATTTTTTTACTCATTCCTCTCTTTTTATTGTCTAATTTTATAGTAAATTTGTCAAAAGAATTTATGGCACTGGCATCATACATTTAGTGAAAATAAATCTCTATTAATTAAGTTTATTATTATTTATTTATTATATAATTTAGAAAAACAGTAGCCTTATTTTAATGTTGTTATTTAGCATTATTGAGACTATTCCATGATATTTTTAACAACCCCCTCGATCATTTATCCTTTCGCCAGTCGTGGGTTTGGTCCTAAAAAAGTGTTCTGTAATTATTAAAGACTCTGTAATTATTAAAGACTCTGCATCATATCACGGTCCCATCCACACTTCTTAATAAACATTAAAAATACTTTACAATGTGTTTTTGTCCCAGGATCTTAGTGCAGATCTGTAAGACTCAGGCGTTTCAGAAACTGAACCCGGCTGAGTTTGAGTTACACGACGAGGTCAGCGACGCCATACTGGTCAGTAAACATAGTACTAATAACAAACATAAGTATAAAGTATGTTGTACATGTACTTATAATATGGCTTTAATATCAGACAGGCACAGAGGAGTGGTTCAACATCCAGAAGGGTCTGAATCAGCCCATGACGAAGGTAAAGACATATCATTACATTTTAAGCATCAGTTTGCTCGTAAAGAAGTGGACGTTTTTACCGGATGATTTAAAGGGCTGGAAGAACATTTTTATGTTTAAGAAAATGTGTAATATTTATATGTTGTATCCCACAACCCATCAGAGACTGCACTGACCTCACCACCTTCAAAAAACGTACACAAACTCACCTCTTCAATCTGGCTTTTAACGTGCGATTGTTTTTGTATTGCTTGATTTTAATTTGACTTTTACTATATACATATTTATTTGTTGTTCTTTTCTTGTTACTATCTCTGTAAAGCGAATTTGAGCACCTGTAAAAGCACTTACAAAATAAATGTATTATTATTATTATAAAGAAAGCGTAGTTAAACAGTATGAAGTTGACTAGTTTTGATTGTGTTCTGGTTTTATGTTTCAGTGTTTGTAAGCAACTGTGACGAAAGAATGTTATTATTATTATTATTATTATTATTTTACTTTTTTATGGTTATTTCATTTCTTTTTCAAAGGGGGCAGGTCACATAAGATGTTCTTCTCCCTGCTCCTTTCCACCATGTTCTATAACAAACAAAAGAAAAAAACAAGTGTGCATGTTTTGTTTTAAAATAACTGCCATGTGTGGAATACAAAAATAAATAAAAATACATCTTTGAGGGTGGTCTGGTTCCTAGATTCTATTTTAAATCATTATAATTGTGTTGTTTTCTCAGGATCTGTCAGAGATCGTGAGCGCCCTCTCCAGGCTGATCGCAGAAGTTCAGGAGGACATTAAACACAACAAGGACGCCTGGAACAGAGTGTTTGTCAGGTGAGAACTAACTAGAGTTATCCATCAAAGGGAAATACCAGTGTGATGTATGTCTACGGGACCAAGAGGGACAACTTATTGAATATACTGTTAGTAGAGTGTTAGTTTGTTATTGAGTCTCAAGAAGTGTAGCTCTGAAATCTCACTTTGCCTCCCCATTGTAGAAATCAGTTAAATATTCAGCCATGAAATTGAAAATCTCACTTTAATTTTCAATTTAAAAAAGCGGAAAAAAAGTCGTCCAAATGTTTAAAACTAACACAATCTGGAATGAGAAAGATACCAACTCTCTCTCTTAACCTACGATACCTGTATAGATAGATAGATGGATGGATGGATGGATAGATGGATGGATGGATGGATAGATAGATAGATAGATGGATAGATAGATGGATGGATGGATGGATGGATGGATGGATGGTTGGATAGATGGATGGATGGATGGATGGATGGATGGATGGATGGATGGATGGATGGATAGATAGATAGATAGATGGATGGATGGATGGATGGATGGATGGATGGATGGATGGATGGATGGATGGATGGATGGATGGATGGATGGATGGATGGATGGATGGATGGATGGATGGATAGATAGATAGATAGATAGATAGATAGATAGATAGATAGATAGATAGATGGATGGATGGATAGATAGATGGATGGATAGATAGATAGATGGATGGATGGATAGATGGATAGATGGATGGATGGATGGATGGATGGATGGATGGATGGATGGATGGATGGATGGATGGATGGATGGATGGATGGATGGATGGATGGATGGATGGATGGATGGATGGATGGATAGATAGATAGATAGATAGATAGATAGATAGATAGATAGATAGATGGATGGATGGATAGATGGATAGATGGATGGATAGATAGATGGATGGATAGATGGATGGATGGATGGATGGATGGATGGATGGATGGATGATAGATAGATAGATAGATGATGGATGGATGATGGATAGATAGATAGATAG